ACAGTCAAGTAAGTTTGTGTTAATTACAGTTCACCAACTTTATCTAGTTCACACCGAAACAGTCAAGTAAGTTTCTGTTAATTACAGTTCACCAATTTAATCTATCTAGTTCACACCGAAACAGTTCAAGTAAGTTTGTGTTAATTACAGTTCACCAACTTAATCTATCTAGTTCACACCGAAACAGTCAAGTAAGTTTGTGTTAATTACAGTTCACCAACTTTATCTAGTTCACACCGAAACAGTCAAGTAAGTTTGTGTTAATTACAGTTCACCAACTTAATCTATCTAGTTCACACCGAAACAGTTCAAGTAAGTTTGTGTTAATTACAGTTCACCAACTTTATCTAGTTCACACCGAAACAGTCAAGTACATTTATGTTTACTATATGTAGAGTTGAATGTACGAAACAACACCTGCATACCTGATACTAAACACGATGCAATACTGAATCAACGTGTTGATATTCAACAGGAGATTTGTCTTATGACAGGTAGTTGAACTTTTTAAATATGTTGATAGTAAGGGTTAAAATTAACTACAAGGTAATGGGATAACTGAAATCTTATATAGGTTTTGAGAAATCCCCCCTCGAGACCATTTAAAAATCTTTCACTATTTCAAACATAAAGAAACGTTTAGCTCGAAGGCCAGCATCAGGCCCGTGTCCAAGACTTTTATAATATCGAAAGAAAAGTGATTTTTTTTTCAAACAAAGCGTAAAACAAATCACAAATGTGACTCCTGGCTTGTTTTATGGTTCTTGCAGACTTTAATCAAAATTTTATTTCGAGTCTAATGCATTGAGCGCGAGACTCTCGTGCTATCGGCATTAACCTTACGCGTATTAAAATCTACACTACTGTAGATCAAAGCCCGATAAATTGAAATTAGAATTTGTTTTAGTTAAAACCGGATTTCACACACGTATGATTCGGTATGGCTAGTGTTCTGCCCCTAGTGGCACAGCGGCACGTCTGCGGACTTAAAACGCTATAAACCGGGTTTAGATACCCGCGGTGGGCAAAACACAGATAGCCCATTGTGTAGCTTTGTGCTTAACTTAAAAAAATCAAAGCTAGTGATGTGATTATAACCCCCATGCCAAGCAACACCACTGGATATAGGCTCCTGTTTAATCACCCTGGTTCTAAGTAACGTAACTTTTATTCAGACTCCGTTGTCCATAGTACAGTATAATAACACTTTACCAACGTCACAGTATCTAGGACCTCACCCAAGTTGGGTCGAGGAACCATATAGCCAATGACGTTTACTTACTGGTATAATGTATTCCGCGCTATTCCAGGTTTTAATATTCCCCTGTACAGGTAACATTTGTAGTCTGGGGTTCTGAGAAAATATTACCAGTACTGTCTGCTGTTCTTTCAGCAATTGCAAAATGGTGGTAAAAAAAGAAAGAAAAAATCCTTATTAATTATGCTTCCAAGATCTGAAACCATCAGTTAAACTTGAACTGTGTCTAAAAAAAAAAAAAAGGGGTGCCAAGATCTTCCTACCCCCTTCCGGGATACCACTGTATATGGGCGGTTTTTGAACTTTATTCACAGATTTAAATGGGAACTGGCACAGACACGTTAGGGATCGCTAAAATCCTGGTTTCGATTCGCCTCGGTGGGACAGCCTACGGACCTACAACGCTAATAATCTGGGGTTCGGTTCCCCGCGGTGTACACAGCAGATAGCCCAATGCGGCTTTGATCTAAAACCAACAACAACAAAATGAGTACCTGCGTTCAGTGTTTTAAAACTGGGAACCTTCGAATGTGGGATCGTTAGATTTACTGCAGGAATTTACTTGAAAGTTGATTGTTCGTTTGTTTGAAATTAAGCACAAAGCAACACAATGGGCTATCTGTACTCTGCCCACCACGAGAATCAAAACCGGATTCTAGCTTTGTAAGTCCGCTGACATGCCGCTGTGCCAATGGGGGGCCTTGAAAGTTGAAAAGATCGTGCAAATTGGCGATCAAAACAAGGCGTGCATAGTTGTTGTTTTTTGCGGGTTTTTTTTTGTTTTTGAAGAAATAAATAAAGAAAATATACCAGTCACAGTAATCTTATAACCTGTTAAGAATACAGCAAGCTTCAGTTTTCGAGTTATTACTAAGAATGGTACAGAAATAAAGTGATTATCTCAACCCACGTACTAGAAGCGGTAAATTATGGTTTATGAGAGAATAAACTTTATCTTTTTTCTTCAGACCAGGTCTAAATAATTTTTCTTTTCTTTTCAATATGATCCACACTAGATTAATTAAAAGAGCTCGTGGTAATCATTGTTAAGGCTGAAAATATAACTCTGTTCGTTTTATCAGGTGCTGCATGCATCACGACTTGTGTTACGATAGAGCTAACGACAAAGCTTGTGAAAACTACCACAACAAAGGACCGTACGTTCTTAAATATGATTGGAACGTTACAAGGTCAGGAAAATTTGAATGTGGTAAGTTTATTAATATTTTCCTCATCACTTAATTTCCGGAAATTTAATAAAATTGTTTCATATCGAGTTTGATATTGCTTAAAATCATGGAAGATAATACACATATCGTTAATTTAATAAAGTCGTTCTCATGAAATAATGGTGAATAATATAAAGTTATAGTACACCAGAAGAGGGCGTTATAGGAAATCTTAATACTATAAAATACAGCGTTTCTATTTGTCTGTTTATTGGTCACGCGCTGATGACGTAACAACTTATTACGTAATTTAAGTAGTTTGGCTTCCTGTCAATTAGAAGCGAGTAGTTTACGATTAAATTAATGAGATACTTGGACTCAAATGTACAAAACATTGCACCTTTTTTCGCAATTTGAAAACGTATCTTTGTTAAATCGTCGAGTTACTCTAGAATGGACGTAAATATACTTTAGTAGACATTTTATATAACATATTATAAGCTTATCAAAGTTTTTAAAAAGGTCTAACGTTAGGTCGTACAATAATATTAGAAGATTATTTATTTATAGTATTAAGTGCGGTAAGGGTTAGTCCTAACTAAAATTAAGCAAAACACGTACACAAGTTACAGTGTTAATTTATCTCTTTTGATCGAATATAGTTCGTACTTGATAAAGGCTTAACTAATGTTAGGCCTAAGACAAGTGAACTTATAGATTTCCGTGTCTGTGATTAGAATTATTTTGTATTACTATTATTCTAGAAATCCTATATTTAAAAAAGTACTGTAACAATAAAGATACTTATTTGGCTGCAAATGTTTTGCGGGTCTCTGCTAGTTTTTAAAAAACACCAGTTTCAAAGTTTAGTAGGTAATACCTATTATAATAATTGTAAACCTCATTTTTCTGTGCCATATAAAGACACTGTTTCCCAAGTTGTTATCAAAATCAATACCTCGTGGAACATTTTGTATGTTATAATCCAGCGAAATGCCTCGTATCGAACGGCATTTCACAAATAAAATTCAGTTGAAATGCTCTTATACATTTTTTCTTATTGATTGTTCTATAAAAAATGGTGTGTTTTAAATTATTTTAATATTACAAACATTGTATACTAGCCTATCGGACGCCAGCAGCTTTTACGCGGTAAAATTTAGTAATTCAATATTGTTGAAGTAGGCCTAAGTCGTCACACCGAACATGCTCGCCCTTTCACCTGTGGAGGGTGTTATAATGTGACGATCAATCCCACTATTAATTGGTAAAAGGGTGGCCCAAGAGTTGGCGGTGAGTGGTGACGACTACGTGCAATATCTAGTCTATCACTGCTAGATTAGGAAAAGGTAGACCTCGTGTGGCTTTGTGCTTAATTTCAAACAAACAGTTTTTCGCGAAATTCACCAAATAAATAAACTACCACGTCGTCAAAAAACAAATGTCTTTCGCGGGCCAGATATTTCAGCTTTTTAAATAAACTAAAGTGTTATGTGTTATGACCCAATAAAATGAGTCATATTTGAATTTGAGTAAAAATATTTAATGGTTATGATTTAACCTAAACATCGTATAGTTGAAAGGATGGCGAGGAATTTTCTTTGTTGGTATCCATATTTTACATGTTAACTCGGTGTTTGTTTAAGCGAAAAGCTGCACAATAGGCTATCTGTACTGTGCCCGCCGCAAGGACCGAACATCGAATTTTAGTGTCATAAATCCTAAACCTTATATCCGAGTCATTGTTTGTTTGTTTTGAATTTCGCGCAAAGCTAAACGAGGGCTATCTGCGCTAGTCGTCCCTAATTTAGCACTGTAAGAATAGAGGGAAGACAGTTAGTCATCACCACCCACCGCCAACTCTTGGGCTACTCTTTTACCAACGAATAGTGGGATTGACCGTCACATTATAACGCCCCCACGACTGAAAGGGCGAGCATGTTTGGTGTGACGGGGATTCGAACGAACCCGCAAATTGCGAGTCAAGCGCCCTAACCACCTGGCCATGCCGGGGCCCATCCGAGTCATTAGAAGCTGGACTAGTTAAGAAAGTAAACGAAGAACTTCTGGTCTACAGTGGCTCAAAAATAAGTCTACAGACTTATAACGCTAAGACCCGAGTTTTGATACCCATGGTGGGCACAGTATGAAGATAACCCATCGTGTAGCTTTGCGCTTAACAAGAAGCTCTTAACGCTATTTCGTGAATTATATTTTAAATGATATTTTCTTATCTATTAATAAATTTTGTATTGTTATTTTTTTCAGGTGACACCAGTAACAGCTGTGTTGGAAAAATATGCAAGTGTGATATCCATTTAGCAATGTGCCTGAAAGCACACAAAAAATCCTACAACGTAAATTACTCTACCAGACGTCTGGAATAACCATAACCAACTGAAACTCTCTGGTGGTTAAACTTAGTATTCAATTATTAAAATATAACTCGCAATTGTTTTTATTACACAATGTCGATAAATAAAAAAATGTTCTTTGATCAGTTACCTGAAGAAAATATTTTATTATTTTTTGACGTATAATTTTGTTTATAATTTTAAGATTTTTTCGTTTTACTGTGACTAGAAAATTCACTTTAAACCATAGTTAATTTTTCTGTTTAAAAGTAATAATTGCTTCTTAGCATAGATAAGTAAACGTCTCATCTTCGAATAAAATAAAATAAATGTTGTTATACCTCTTGTTAGTATCAACTCACGCCATCTGTTAACAAAATTTAACAGCATTTTGCCAACTCAAGACGCACAGCGTTGCGTGCTATAGTTTGATAGTTAGATGTAAAATAATTCTGAGAACCTATAAATGAAACTATAGAAGAATGTATAACAACATGTCAACCACGCTATATCTACTACGTCGAGTGTCGACGAGGCCTTTCGGACGAAACCAGACCTCCTCAGGCTAGCTGGGATACGACAGACACACTAGTAGTTGAGCTGCTTATGATCAAATTGCACAGACAGTAACTGTTATGATGTAAACTAGATTAGGTTCTAGAAGTTTATGATATGTTCCTCATTTTAAACACTTCAATAAAAGTAAAGTCCTAATATACATTGCCTTAATGAAATAACTTTAAGAAGTCCGGAGGAATTAGGCATAACAATAAGTATGATGACCAGCCCAAATAAACAGCTATAAATGACTTCAAGAACATTGCTGGGTAAATTTATTTCATTAGAAGGGTCGGCTGAAAGGTACTATCAGATGATAAGTTTCGCTAACAAATATAGCTATGTCTGTATATGGTTGGAGACGAGAGTAATTTATCACGCATGCGTGTGTCTGATGGATTTTTCGTTGTATATTTCAATACCTCACGCTTTGCAGGGAAGAGAAATATTATTCTTAACGGTAAGAATATATAATATTATCTCTGGATGAGCATCTCCTTGTTAATGTTTCACAAAATTATTTCTGAAACTGAATTTCTTATTGACATTGTTCTGTAACTTCTTAAATCTCAACAATTGCTAATTAATAACCCGGGATTGTAGCTGGTTAAATCCCAACAACTGTTAATTAACAACCCGGTATTGTAACTGGTTAAATCTCAACAACTGTTAATGAACAGTCCTGTATTGTAACTGGTTAAATCTCAACAACTGTTAATTAACAACCCGGTATTGTAACTGGTTAAATCCCAACAACTGTTAATTAACAACCCGGTATTGTAACTGGTTAAATCTCAACAACTGTCAATGAACAGTCCTGTATTGTAACTGGTTAAATCTCAACAACTGTTAATTAACAACCCGGTATTGTAACTGGTTAAATCCCAACAACTGTTAATTAACAGCCCGGTATTGTAACTGGTTAAATCTCAACAACTGTTAATTAACAACCCGGTATTGTAACTGGTTAAATCTCAACAACTGTCAATGAACAGTCCTGTATTGTAACTGGTTAAATCTCAACAACTGTTAATTAACAACCCGGTATTGTAACTGGTTAAATCTCAAAAACTGTTAATAAACAACCCGGTATTGTAACTGGTTAAATCTCAACAGCTGTTAATAAACAACCCGGTATTGTAACTGGTTAAATCTGAGAAGTTAGTGAGCATACCATGTTGTTTTATTTCCTTGATCGTCAGATCGCTATGACCTTGTGACATGAAAAGATAGTTTAATAGCATAGATGAATAATTACATTATAATTTTAAATAAGAATATTATATCAGAAAAAACAAGAGTGAACAAATCCTCTTTTTTTAATGTTGAAAATCCATATCATGGCACAGAATTACACGTATTATTAATTAGCTTTTAATTTTAAAAGATTATTTAAGGACAATGAGTTCCCAATAATTTTTTTTTTTTTCAATTCAACACTTTGCTGTAGGTATATTTTTATTTTATTAAGTACTAAATGAGCTCACCGCCGAAGTTTCATTACCATCAATCATCATTAAGAAAGATATTGAGGCAAACCTAATATTTTAATGAAAATTAGTAAACTAGATGGCGAAAGCATCGTAATTTTGGTTTTGGTTTCGGATAGCATGCATTTTATATAGCTTGGTGGGCGTAATGTATGTAGTGGATAAGGCGTAGCTGGAAAGATTTGTTGTGTTAAATTTCATCTGTGTTGTATCAGGTAATTTGCCATGTTTTTGAATTAAGTTTATATTTTAAAACTACTGATCTTTACTTCTGTACAATATAATACACAATATCGTTTATATGATTGTTTGACCCGAATGCTGTATTTTTATTAACAGTAATATTGTGTCTGACGAGGGGATCGAATTATAATGTTACCAACTTTAAAAATTAACTCCGAGTCACGGGTAAACTCTGCTATCTGTTTTTAACAATACATCTAATCAAAATATACAAAATGTGTTTCGTAGTTCATCATTTATGCTAAATTATAACTAGTAAATATCAAATTAACTTCGCTAATAATCTTGGTGCGCGTCTGTATATTAGGCCCAAATAATTTTTACAAGTTTTATAAACCTTTTTCAAATACAGTTTTTGCGTGAAAAAAAAAAAAAAGACTGCCTCTGTTTTCTAACACGTACCCTCTTCTGCAGTACTCCAGTGATAACCTATTACTTACTATTATAGTTTTATCTAAATCTGTATTATAGGTATAGTGAAAATTGGCAGATCCAAAGAGAACCTCCTCGTGACACAAATTGTAGAGCTATTGGTTTTGAGGCCGGGTTCGAAACGTGCGATATCCCCAACACATTCCTCCGAACTTAAAGCTGATGATCTGCTATAAGAGTGACAATCAATCCCTTAGTATGGATAATGGATTTACGGGTGCTGCTAACTGACTGTCTTCTCTTTCGTTAAAATGAGGAACGTTATCAGATCCCCCTTACTAGCTTTACCAATAAACAGAAGGCAAATACAGGACCTAGGTTTTTTTAATATACTCTTCTTCGCCATTTTTTAATATGAAAAATGTAACGATAAACACTGTTCATGTGACCTTAATATAACGTATAAGAAACAAATTGTGTGCGTGTAGGCTTATCGTAATAACAAACACCCCCATCTAATTATTGTGTCCGGCATGGCCAGGTGGATAAGGCGTTCGACTCACAATCTGAGGGT